ATAAAACAAAAAATTTATCACATAATTGAATAAGGGTTATCTTGTCGGTTCTTCTTGGTCACAAAGTCTGTCAATTAAACGTCTCAAAGGTGGCCTTGACGTTAAAAATGTATGTGTTAATAAATAACGGTTGTACGATAATTAAATGTCATTCTCCTCTTGAAGGACCAACCTTGTTTCCGGCAACATGGGATATTGAAGCCGAGGAATCGGCCTAATGGTTTCACCACTGACAAGGCACTTCAGCACGTAGAATGAGAAATAGTGAGAACTCAGCCTCTTCCATAGAAGCATATATTGGAAAAAAATAGCGGCTAATGGAATAGGCAGGTTTCTCATTATGAGATAACTGACCCTGGGTGGATCTGATACGCTAGGCCTCGATTTTTGTTCACTGGGAGACTGAGGAATGGTTGCATACCACTGTCCATCCACCAAGTCTGTTCGGTTCTTTCTTATACGAATAACATTATCTCCTTTCTCGCCATCCATTCCTCGAATTTGCCGCAGATATTCTTTTGACGAAGAAGGAACAGGTTCGACAATACTGGATGCGTGATTGTTCTCGTGTTTTCGAGTTGTGTTACTCCATGGCAAGAAATACTTTAATACACGAACTACTCTTGCTAATGATGTTTTGTATGCGGTGAAATAGTACGAATCGCATGTTTCGAACCGTAATCCTCCTTATGAACGACGTAAGTATTTAGGTTTGAGTTTTTAAGATGAGACTAAACACTATTTTGAGCTTACCAGGTAAGCGATCTGGATCCTTGAAGCGAAGCATAATGGCAAATAACGGGAAATGATTGAGGAAAGCCAGGAGTGCCTCCATCACCGCTTGCAAGAAAATTACACCTACTCTACTCTGTACATAAAACATCTATTGTTAATGGGCTAGACATATTAGTGCAATTGAACCGGTGTCCAAAACTCACCGTCGCAAAAGTAGCATAGTAAACAAGTACAGTAGGGAATAGAAAAGTCAAAAGAGTAAAGAGAATTGTTCCAAGTAACAGTTGATCAAGATCATAATCGCATGCGTCGATCCTGTTTCGAAGCGTGTTCCTCTTTTTGCCTACA